GCAAGAAACAATTTTTTTCCTGGATGACTTACTAAACTTGTATAGTAGTGAAATCTTGCCTTTCTTATTGCATTTCTTCCTGTGTGGTCAGGACAAAAAGTAGCACTGTCCAGCTGCCACAGCAAGGAATGCCAGGAAGAAAATTTAACATTCAGAAAGCAGGAATTTTTTGTAAATTTTGTAAAAATATAGAGAGATTTTATAGCTATGTATTTCTTTTCTTGGTAATTACAGACCAAATTGCCTTCTGATGTGAAAGATCTAAGCTACATTTCAGTTAATGAAACAAGACCAGCTTATCCCAGCAGAAAATATAATCTCTGTTTTACTGCTGTAACAGCAGAATTAGAGGAAATGCAACGGACATTCTGTAATATGTACAAGCCATTCTTAGCCATTTAGATGGCTCCATGTTTAGCCCATGAACCACTTTGTTCAGTTCACTAAATATTAATTCTTCTGAAGTCTGATTTCTTGCAGGGTGGTGTTCTTCCCCAGTTCCTCCTCTTGCAATTTAAAGGTCTGACTTTACACATTACAGGTTTGGAGCAGTGTCTTTAGGGGGGTAGAGCAGGGGGATTGGATAACTGCCCAATTTCATATGATAAAAGTGAAATTCTCTTCTGTCTGCAGGAAAATCCCCAGGGAACAACGTATGAAACCCAAACTTAAATAAAATCATATCCTGTTTGCAAACATCATATTCCCTTTGCTTCTCAGTAATCTGGACCCATAAACCCCAGCACAGCTTGAGAGCCCATTCCTCATCTAAACAAATGCCATAAGCCCCTTTATACTTATACAACCATGTCAGAAAATAATATTGACTGCCAATAGTGATGTGATTGGAGTTGCCTCCTCTGAGCCATAAAAGAAGCAGTCTGTTATCAATTTCTCTAAATGCATCAAGGGAATTATGGGTCGGTTCAGTTCCAAGTTATAAATGACAATTCAAAAGCCGCAGAAGTGTTTGAAGCTGGGAGCCGATGATGACATTATCATAAAAGCCTGCTCTTCTTTCCTTTTGTGGTTTTTTTTTGCCTATCAGCTAGACAAAAAAATATGGCTGAGAAATGAGTTCAAGATTTCTTCACACAGCAGCAGGTCAAACAGGCAGGAAAACAGTCACTATTTTTAGTGACAGACGGAGATAAGGAGATGAAACTAACTCCCATTAAAAGTAGATTTCTGCTTCTCTTATTGTTATTTTCACAGCACAACAGGATAGGACTTGCAATGGATGGATGCATTGATCAAATGATCAGTTATAGCTCTGGTGGCTGTTTACAGATGAAAAATTGTGGAATGATCTGACAATCCACAGAACCAAAATATAATTTGTGATTATTCTCCCCATTTGGCCACTTCACCTGCAATCTACCCACCTCTCCTGGAAAACTTTTCACATTCCAAACCTCTGACCAGCTGCAAGAAACCATCTCTTGTTATTAAAACTGCTGGCCATAGAGCTGCTAGTCTGTCTCCAACACAAAGAATTTCATCCCCCTGGTATTAGAATTCTTTAACAGCAGTTGGTTCTGGAACAAGGTTAAGTTTGAAAAAAAGGAATAAAAAGCATTATTGCAAGAGGGAGGTCCCATACTTCAGTGGATGTTATACTGCTGACCCTGGATAGTCCTATGATGGAAAAATAACCAAAATTGAAAGAAAAACTGTTATTTGCAAATTTAGTAGGTTAGTTTAGGCAATTTTTGTCTCTCTTTGTGAGAACTGTTCAATTTACCTTTAAGGATGAAACAGCTTTTGCTCTTAGATAAGTGAGCTAATTATTACTTACTTAGTTTCTTATAAAACTGTAAAGTTTATTGTTTGATTTCTTCAGAAAGCCTAACTTATACCAAGCCATATTCACCAATGACTGACATAACCAGTCCCTAGCTCTACTTGAAAGAGGATTCATATGGATGAAGGGTGCTTACAAAATGAGTAAGTTGTAACTTTATATGCATTTTGCACTGATACAAAAGATATAGTGCTGTGATGAAAAAGGATCAGAAAATATTAGTTATGGACACAGACTGCCTCTTGTTTGCTTTTCAAAATTCTTGAAAAAAACTTTCTTTCGCTGTAATTGTGAGTAATATCCAAAGAAGAGGATCTCTAATGTTGACTGCAGTTTTAGAACAGAGATAACAAAATTAGTAATAGAGTAGAATTCAGGGTTTTAGAGGTTAGTTGGACTTTAATTTGGGAACAATGTGAGCCATCCAAAACTCATGTCAATACAGTCTGTAAAGCCCATCAGTTGATCAATGTCTGTGAAGTCCTGAGTTCCAGTCCTTGATCCAAGAACAGTTTTCATTCTGTTCAGTGATTTTTCACATCAAATTTATAAGCTTTCTGTGGAGCAAGGCCTCAGAGCTAGGATTTCACAGTATTTATAAATATATAATAGGTAGATTATAGCCTTAGGTACATGGGCTGTATCCTACTTATGCTCTGTCTTACTTTTTTGGTGCTCTTTCCAACAGTGGCACAGCTTCAGTGCGTGGTATGAGGGTCCCCAAAAAGAAACAACATTTGATCTCCTGTGTGGTAACAAGATCCACTAAGAATGGGATCTCTGATATTAAATCCAGCCTAGGAGTGTAGAGAACTAAGCCTAGGTTTCTCATTCCCTATGTGAGTAGTCTAATCTGTTTCATAATAGACCTGCATAATAACAACCAGCAAGGTCTCTGCTTGGCTAGAAGACAATAGGATCAAAGACCTCTGAAAACCCTGGTTCGAAACGCAATCATAAAGTCTCCTGCAAGAATGGAATTTATTTTTCTTAACATTTTCTCATTGTATTCTGTAGCAAACAAGTAGTGATGCAAACAAGCAAGAAAAAAATTACAACAAACATTAAAAAAAATTCTCCCATCCGTCCTTAAAGTCTTTGCATGAATTCCTCTTCCTGCTTTACATTGATTACGCTCTATAACTGCCAATTAAATTCAAAGTTACTAAGTAGCAATATTTCTTTGTTCTTTCCACCATCATTTCTGAAAGTAAACTTAAGAATTGCTTTCCACGTAGTTTGAAGCAATTCCCTATCCCAGAGCTCATCTTAACCAATCAACAGCTAAATATCACTGAAAGAGAGCTCCTAATCTGATTATTTACCTTGAAAAAGGTCATAACCCATTCCTTTAAAAAAGCCCCACAGCAAGCCTGACAGTAATAATATGTAGAAAGGCAAACCAACTAGAAAAAAAATAAATAAAAGACCTGTTTCTACAACATGTTCTTTAATCCAATTGCCATGAATTTAAATAAGAAATAAAGCATACAGACTGAAAAAAAGGTGTAGGTTAATTTAAATGCTTAAAAAAATGAAGTTACGCTCAGCAATTTTGACTTGTGTTAGCTTTAGAATAGACAACATACTGTCATTAGTTGGAGGATTTCAAAGAACATCTCTAGTCACAATTTTTTAATACCACAATAACTTGTTTCACAGAAAACTCTTACCCTTTAATTTTCAAAGAGTGCCATAGTCCTATTTACTATACAAGGCCCTCAAATAGATTTTTTCAAGAAATTTTTGTACTCAGAAGCTTGAACATCCTTTCTTAACTTTATTCATTTCTTGTTCAATTTTCTCTGCAACAACAGTATGAAAAATTACTTTTTTTGGACACCAATATGTGCATATATGCGTGCATGTGTGAATATGTGCACACAGAAGTTTACAGAGGTGCATGTGGACACACATGTCTACATGTCAATATGTAATGTTAGCTGAATCATGTACAGAAATGATACCCAGGTTTCCAAATTAGCAAGTTACTACTTCCAAATTTTAGGCAGAATCTTCAGCAAGCTAGGCCTACAGTGGAGGAGCTGGAACGATTACCACTTCCTGATTCTTTTAAGTCATAGTGGATAAATCCTCAAAAATTACTAAATACTGAAAGGTAAAATGCCTTTTTTTAAATTTTGTGTGTGTGTGTGTTAAAACCTTACAAAATGAGTATTTTTTTCTCTCAGGTATCTCATCATAAAACCCCCCTGTATAAACATACTAGTATGGTATGGAATTGTGAAAAATAGAAGTAAATAAAACTGTAGAAAGTTGCATTGAAAGTTGACCTCCAGAGATTATGGCTTTATCTCCGCTCAGATACTCAGAGACATACTGAGAGAATTCACTCAGAAACAGTGGAAGGGAATCTCATCCAGACAGCCCATTGATATCTAGAATTATGATAGTTTCATTTTCATATTGATGACATCAGTAAATAATGGACCCAGTTGGACCAAAATCATAGAATGCTTTTGTGTGAAAAACCCATGTATGTGAAAAATTATTTCTCCCTGGCATTATCTTCACTAGAATTTAATAGGAGCATGATACCAACATCAGTAGAAATTCTACGTTTTTCAATAACTTAGCTTCATTCTTTTACCTAATGTTGCAACATATTTTTGTCTGGAGATTTTTGTCTACTGTGTCCTAATACTTGCAAGCTTGTATTTCAGGTTTAATTCATTTCAAAACAGGACATAAAAGTGCTCGTGTAATTTGTAACTTTAATAATACCGAAGTTACTAGCTAGCAGCTAGTGAGCCCTTTTCATGCTAAATGTTAGTTTTGGTAATTTTTTTGTCCTTTCAGAGAAATGTGGAACTATATTTACTTTTCAACAGTACACAAAACAGCTTCTCCAAAGCTCATTATGCTATAAAAATTGCACCCATGTTACTTTCCTCAAGAATAGAGCTCACGTAAAAAATCCCAAAGTGGCACAACTAAGGAATGGGTGCATTTACACAAAATGTGTTCCTGTCTAACTGTTCCATATGCTTATTGTAATGTACTGTCTTCTGTGTTTTTGAAAAAATAGTGCAATAATGGGTCAGGTTTCATCTCTGCATTTTTTATCAGCTTCTGAAGACTTTGAACTGATAATGCAGTAGTTCTAAAGTATTAATGAATGAACACATATGTTGTGTGCTGTCCCTCTTGCAAAAAAAACCAAACATATACTTACCCCAAGTCCCCCACAAGGCAACAAGGAAAATAGTTTTTGAGACACATTTCCTATATATTAAAGAAAAAAGAAACAATAAGCATGATTTATCAAAATGACATTTAAATACTCAAACAGTATTTCCTTACTCTTTACAGTAATTCAGATTTCATTATTACACTATGAAAATGCCATATATTAGTATAAAAATAATCACAGTACTTAGAAATCAAATCAGCCATGGGAAAGTTAAGGTACTGTTATGCAACAGTGACAAATCTTAGCATTGGAAAGCAGTATTTTTAAAGGAATGTAATGATCAAATCTCCACAGAAAGTCACTCTGAACTAGGGTGACTAATCATCCTGATATCTGTAGCTGATAAGCATGATAAGCTGATAAGCTAGTCAACTTAGCTTCTTCTCCAGCTGGTGGAGTGAGGCAGGCACCTCCACCCAGGCTAGATGACTGATGGGATGAATTATACTTGAGAAATACCTGTTTCTTTTCACTGACAACAGAGGGAACTCTCATTAAACTTAAATGAAACTGTTCATTTCTTAAATTTGTCTCTCTGAAAAAGCTTTTCCTTTGAAAATTGCAGTCTTAGTCTTCCTATCTATGTAAAAATGCTATTTTCTTCATTTACATACCATCAATGAATATATATATTGTTTTAGTATTATTCAGTAAATACATTATACTAAAGGGAACAAAAACTTAATAAGCTCTAGAATCTAATTTCTAGCTAGTTCTACTCTCTATATTAGCTAATATAGGGTTTATCTTAATATTTATACTCTTTATTCATTCTTGGGGGTTTTTTGCATTTTTTGGTTTGTTTTGGTTTTTTGTACTACTAAACTCACTGTTTATCTTGATAAGGACAATATGAAAACCGGGTAAGGATCTCAGGATTTGGTGCAATTCCTATCCCAATATGACATCTGATCCTAAGGAAGCCATGGAAGAGAACATAAGCTTTTTCCCTGCCATATCACAGAACTGGCTTTGTAACTTTGCCATCTGGAGGAAACATTAGATAGCGAATCACTTGAGTTAACCTAGAGGAGCCACCAATTGTTATGGAAGGGACAAACACTGCAGTTACTCATGTTTAGCAGGTGCCAACGAAATGCATAAAGACAATTATCAGCCATCATCTTTGAAGTACAAGAGACCAGACTGCAAGGTCTGAGACTAAAAAAGTGCTTTACACTTTGAGTAAAATCCAAGATGCACTTTTAACCAACTTGAGGTCTTTGATCAGTTTGCACAGCGTGCCAGAGAAGACAAACAAAACCTCCTGTGGAGCTACCAGGGGAAATGCAGGTGCAGCAGCTATACAGAGTATTCTCATACTGTGAGTCCTGATGGCCCCAGACAAGCAAGGAAATGTTGGCTGCAGGAGATTGCCAGAGTAGAGGTACAGACTGGAGTTTCCAGAACTCTTGCTAAGCAGGTCCAGGGATCAATTTTTCACTTTTTACTGTGGGGAAGATGAAAAAGTCTTGATCAGGTAACTAAAAAATTAGTGCTGTTAAAGTGCCAGGAGACATTAATGGAATCATAAGATGTAATTTGAGATAACAGAAGGGATTTTTAGATTATTGAATGACTAGACATTTTTTCTTAAATTCCATTGCAGAGTTGAGACATAGGAGACAACAGATGAATTCTCATTTACCTCCCTGCAGATGGGCACATTGTGCATGGTAAACACTATTAAAAACAACAAACACAAAGTAAAAGCAGAAAAGCAGATGGTTAGGAGGAACTCTAAAATCAATCAAATGGTAGTACTAAAACAGGAGGAAACAAGCATGTAAGCCATTTCAGTGTATCAAGAAACTTTCCAGGATACTCACTTCTTATTGCATGATATTAAAAAAAAAGCAGTTAACAGACTCTGCAGAACAAGAAAAATGTTGAGATTTCATGAAAAGAACAATGGGGAAAGGTTGTACTAAGAGAAAGTGAGACCATCACTTAGATAGCCTCACAAAAAGGAAAGAGCTCAAAACACTCCGCCAGAAATTAAAATCAGAGCAAAAATCTGAAAATGAATTGAAATGAGAATCTCCCATGATGTTTGAAGTTGATGTCCCAGAAGATATTGGTTTGCTTCAAGTCAGGTAGAAGACAAATTTTAAATAACCAAACGTTTTTGGCTTTGCACTAGGGCAGAGTTTGTAGTCACCAGCAAATCGCTTGAGATTCAGTACAACAATTTACTGATAGAGCTAGAAATGATCCAAGATTTGTATTGTTAAATATCAATGCACAAAGGCAGGAGAAGCTGGTTTGTCAAATTAGGTGCTGAGGCACCCATAACTAACTGAGGTCAGGTTCCTACAGAAGTCAAGGAAGCTGCCTAGGATGTTGACAGCTGGGGACCAAGAGTCTGATGAACAGGAAAAGTGATGGGCAAAAACTCACTTTCAAAAAAATAAATTAAAAAGTGTGGTCACTTTTAACCTGATTATTCTCAGTATCATCCCTCAAGAACGAAACCTTTTCTGTTAAGTGTTTATTTCTTCACTAACTTGAAATTGCAATTGCATGGATGCTTTCTGTATGCATATTTTAGTTATACTCTAAATACTGACTCACTGTCAGGAATGTGTTGACAGTATATTTCTCTCTTTTACAAATTTTTAATCATTGGAAACTTGACTTTTAGTAACACTTGCTTAATGACAGTTGGAGAAGGAAAAAGGAAGCAAATTTGTAAGAACTGTTTACTGTTCTGCCCTTGACTTAGTCAAAGAGATTTGTAAGATTGTATTCTGTCACATGAAACCATAATGTGATGTGACACTTAGTCTGCATATTAGTTTCCCTCGTGTCAAGACAATCTTAGTGCAACATAACATGTTGTTTAACATAACACACTAAAATCCATCAGTCAAAAGCTTAACAACACAATAGTTTAGAAGTTGAAGTGATCGGTTGGAACAGATGCATTTGTAGGCCCTGATGCAGGGAAAATAAAACCAAGAGTTCAAGCAAGTTTATACTTGTAAACCAGTAGGAATAGGTGAACAATAACTGTGTGCATAATTCTCACTGATATCAGTAGTTTGCAGTCATTTTGTTATGCCATCTTCCAGAACAGGGGTTTTTTTTCTTGAACAAGGACACTGAAGTAGGCATTTACTGACAAGTAGCACATTTATAGCTGTAGTTGTAGTTAAATTTCATTCCTTCAAGTGTGTCTTTTCTGTTTGAAAGATACAGAAGATGCTTGTTAGGAAAAAGAAAAAAAAAAAAGAAGAAAAAGAACTTCAGACAAAGCAGATGTACTCTTTGGGAACAAACTCTTTTCTGGAGCGTGAATGGAGAAAAGTGATGCCTCTGTCTTTCTGAATGGGTAGAGGAGTAAGGAAAGGAATGATTAGGTCCTCCTTTCCAATAGGATGCAAAGTCATTATATGATGGCAGTTTGTTAGAAAACAAAATACACTTTCATTGAGATAGAAATATTTTCTGAGACGATGTTGTTATTGACAACATTTTTTAAGAGAAGCATTTTCTTTAGATTTTTCTCGTTTGGTACACATGAATTTCTGTACTATAACACAGTGTTAATTTTAATGTCAGGATTGGCTTGCTTCAACCACACTGAACTGGGGACAGCAAAAGGTGGAACAGTCACACTGCATTTTGGAAAAATGTAAGAGGCAATTAAGTTCCTTTATCCAAGAGTCTGGAAGCCCAAATGATTAGAGCTTCCAGCCAAAAAACAGGCACATACAAAAGCATGTGGGAAGAGTGTTTTATTGACTGTTGTCTTGGTAAATGGCCATGTGAGATGCAGCAAGAAAACATCCTAGAAACAGAGACAGAAAAGGGCATTGAGACAAGGATACACTCAGAATATATTCTAAGACTGTGATCTTGATATAAATTTAGAGAATAAATGTTTTGGACTAAATGTCTAATAAAAAAGGAAAAGAGTGTCAAGGAGAGAACTGTGGGTGAAGATATGTGTTTCTGAGATAGGGGAAACAAAGCTTTCTGCATTCTCTGTACAGCAGCAGAAACACAGTTAGGGTACCTGGGTCCATTCCTTTTTTCACCTTGTATCTGCAACTGCACACTGCATCCCAGATGCTGGTCAACCCCTGAGATCCAAAATTGGAACAATATTTTATATCAATGTATGTTATATTAAATAATGTGGAAAATAAAATTAAATTAAGCAAACAAAAAAAATTAAATTAAATGCTTTACTGTATCAAAAAGAACATTTTGACAATATTGGTCAAATCAAATCAAATCAAAATGTTTCCAAATTTTAATTTTGCAGGAATTTAGAGCTTTTTCTTGGAAACACCTTTTTTCTTTTCTTTTAAAGGAGGATTTCCTACCTTAGAAATTCAGGCTCCTCAGAACCTATTATACTGTAAATAGTTTTCAGTTTTGATGTTGCCTTGGCTAAGAAGATGTACATATATAACATTGTGATCAAGAAATTTTTCTTATCTACTCTTATGACTTACTGAAACAACAGTCTGCCTTACAGAAGAAACACTTAGCATTAGTTTCCGAAGCAAGATAATTACTATGTATTACTAGAATTGTGGCAGCAATTTCTTCGGTTGGCTAGTGTTATTTTTGTTTGGGTTGGATTTCATTACATTTAGGAAAAGCTCCAGATCGTAGAAAGAGTTATAAAAATAACTGAGAATTAGAATGTTGCATCCAGTGTGCTGGGATATAAAGGGCAGGATTTCACTCACAGATTAGTTCCAAACTGCACTATTTTTTTGTATGTTTCTGACAAATAGATCTGCTTCATGCTACACTCATGGCAGAGCTCAATTTAATCCTACTTTTATATTATAAAAGGCACTGAGCATTGGCTATGCATGAAGATATTTGGCCTGAGAAACCTGTTGGTTTTCTGCTAATCTGTACACCCATAGTGGCATTTAATATTTTAATCTGTTTTCTCCTCCCATTATTCAGAATATCATATCCTGCGTAATGGGAAGGCATTAAAGTTCACTTATTAGCAAAACTTAGGCATGCTATCTGCGATCAGCATGGCTGAAATAATTGAAATAAAGCAAATGAGAACAGCAAACAAGCAATTCTGACAAGCAAGTGTATCTTAAATTACTGGTTTCAAATCAGAGAACACAAGGAGATAGAATTCAAAATTGCCATTGACCTCCAATGGAGAAAAAATTACAGTAAACGGTTAACACTGATGATTTTTGAAGCAAATGAGGAAAACCTTCTATCGCTGCTTTCCAACCCGTGCATTTTGCTAAACTGTATTTGGCTTCCATTGTAACATTCTCCTTCCACATAGCAATGCATTTGGAAAAAGTGAATTTTTGTCACACTGCTTGCCAAGTGTTTTAAACTGACACCAGCTATGACTAATGACAGTGCTGGAATGTGCTGTTCTCGGTAGAATAGAGGCCTGTACAGACCTAGGAGTTTCCTGGGGTCCAGCTTCTGTCTGTTCAGGGGACTGGTGCCATACAGCAGTGAATGATGTTCAGAATGAACCAGCTGTATTTCTTCCAGACTGGCTTTTCGACCTCGAATTCGCTGAAAGAAAACAGCAGAGGCCTACAATATTCCACTGACAATATTTAGGGAGAAGAGGGAAAAAAAAAAAGTAAAGGTCCAAAATAACATTTAGTATGATTAATAATGGGTTGAAATTGCGTCATGCAGGAATGTGACACTGATTTGTTTATTAAAGTAATGCTATATGAAAAACAAATGTGTGTGTGCTTTATCACAAAATACCTCACTTAGTAGAGTTAACCTAATACAAGGTTTCACATACAAGAAAAAGAAAAGAAAAGATTCTGCCTTTTTTCTACGTAATACATTAAGAGATACAAACCAAAAGGTAAAATATTTCTTAAGTAAGAAATCTGTCTAGGAAAATATCTAATTTAGAGAGCGAAAAATTATTCACACCTGTAAGCTGCAGATGTGTTTGGAATGAGAATTAATGTTTTTTGCATTATTACTAGTGCTTGTGATTTATGCTGCTAGGAGGAATATGATCATAGCGAGGAGAGACAAGGAGAAGAATGCTTTAATAAAATATTTCTGTATATTTTTAAGTTTTTAATGTATGATTAATATCCCAGGATCATTTTTGCTGTTACACATGCTGACTCACTTGCTTCCTTACATTTTTGTAAGTGAAGTTTGTCTCTTTAACTGTTTCTCCAGCCTGTACTCACCCCATGTAAATCAATGTTAAAAAATCTGGGATGTCTCTCTACAAATCCGTTGAAATATAATGAGTTTAGGAAGGAACGAAGATAGCGAGGAAAAGATAAAACTAACACTTTCAACAAATCCATTCCTTGTATGTATTTAGAGTTACAGCTTGTCATATTTATTTCTCTGTTTGTGCTAGTGCTGCACAGCTTTTGCAAACACAGCAACACGAATTAGATTTTGTTTGGGATTGGGTATAACAAACAGCACTGTCAACAAAGTTCTGCTCCCAAGATCAACTTTCCTGTTGATATTGGATAAAGTGGAGAGAAAACGGCTTTTTTTTAAGGTCTTGGACCCTGTTTGCAGATCTGGTCCTTATGAACACCTAGGGCAAAACCTCTCACAGCTTAGACTGTGGATCTGTCCAACTATCAAGGTCTACAGATAAACAAGTATAGAAGTTATCTAACTAGACCACCCTATTTTCAAGTAGACTGATTAACATGTTACAGAAATGCCTATTAATTCTAGTTTTATTAGAGGTTAAGTCACAATTCTTACTGTATCCAACACCTTGTCGTATACATTGGAAAGCACCAACCTCTGCATTAAGAGAAGAAAGCAATATTATAAATTGAAAATGTGTACTACAGAAGAAAGGAGCTGCCTGGGGAGTGGGGGGGTCAGAATAACCGTGCACAATTTATATTGAGTTAAGCAGTGGCAATTTTTTATGACTAATCAGGAAAAATATCCTAAGAGTTAGAGATAGATGACTGTGGAACAAGCTCCCCCTCAGGGAAATGGTGGAAGCCCTATTTCTTGCAGTGTTTAAAACTTGACTAGATACAGCAGTGGAAAGAACATTTTAGGGAATGATCCAAGAACTAAATGACTTAATAAACCCTTTTTCATCTCTAATTTCTTCAAGCCTCTCCCAGTCTCACATGAGAATTTGTAGCAGTGCACTCATATCCTTTTAACACAGAGTTGCACAATCAAAATCAGCACATTATGTGACTTCACGGAGTCAGTAAACTCTGTAATGGTTCTTCTGGGTCAGATAAAATATTTTTCTTCACAAGTGAGGTGACTGGTAACATTTATTCCTTCATCCATTCTCATTAAGGTCTGTGTTTCTAACAAGTTGCTTCAAAATCTATATACACAATTCTCCACAGGAAAACTGGGAAGGGAGACTGACTTCAGGACAGATAAAATAAATGTATCAGAAAAGTAAGGAGGAATTTTATGAAGGTGCCATCAAAGAACCTTGAGCAAAATACTCATTCTGGTTGTATATTTTCTACAAGTTATGCAAGAACTCTCAGAGATGTTTAAGAGTTAATTGTCTGGCCTTTTTGGGGGGGTCTTAAAATGCCATATTCCTTTAACTATAAAAAGGCCCACAGCTAGCCACTATTCTTACAATGGGGTGATCTGTCATATTTGGTCTGGAAGTGGTCTCCCAAAATGTTTTGCCAACAACCTATCTACTACCCAATATCACCAGCCAAGTTCTCTAGGGCAGAAATAGGTTGTGCAGAAGCAGGTTTGGTGCAGAAATCAAGTAACACCAAATAGGACAGTCCACTCCAGGCAGCTCTCAACAGTGAGGTCCTTGGAGTGCAGCCATCAGCTGAGCTGTCAGGGCAGGCAGAGCCCAGACCTGCTCTTTCTCCATGGCTTCTCGAGCTCTAACCTTCGGCATCAACAAGTACATTTACACCATAGATGTCAGGAGAAGAGGGAAGGGTAAACAGTGCACATGTCTGTGCTGTTTCTGCATTTCCATCTTCTCATTTAATGTTCCTTTCGTTCCATCCTTGCAGTATCTCTGCTTGTCAAGTCATTTTAATGAAAGCTAAAATCCCAGCTATCTAAGGCTCTACACAGAGGAAAAAAATTGCCATAAAAATGATCTGTAATAATTTCTAAGAATAGCCCTTCTCACATAATGATGTCAGCATTTAGCAGATCTACACAAGCATATGTCCTAAGTCTGTTGCCAGAGTCTGGAGTCATGTAATTTCAGTTATGCAAAGTGATAGTTTCTGGCTCTCACTAGCATGAGTTATCAGACAACAGAACATATGCTTTTGTATAACTTTACACATACACTTTTAGCCACATCTTTTTTTTATTTTGAAGTGTCTTTCTTAATTTTCATTGACCATGGGAGTAGCAAAACCATGAAATGTAGCAGAAAATTGGCATAAAGCCAATAAAAAAGGAGAAATAGCATAGGAGAACATATGAACAGTATCTGTTTCATTCAGAGGAATTTGAACACTACATCCACCCATCTACTACATCTTAAGTAGAAGGCAAGTCATCCTTTTCTAATATGCATGAGAATTTGTGTGTTGGCTTTGTCCTCTAACATATGCAGTTCCCTCATCAACAGAGACATTTATGCATCTCAGGAGAGCAAAATACTTGCACCTGAGTGCTTAAAAAAATCAGTCTAGTACTCGAAAGTTATTCTCCCCACAAGAGGAAAATGCTTTCATCTTTCACAGAATTTAAGGTCAAAGAGAACTGTCTTGTCTGGTCCTCTGTTTAAAATAGATATTTAACATTTCGCACAGGTACCCTCTATTAATCTGAAGATTTTGGTTAGACTTTCAGCAGACTAAACTCATGCACAGACAGAGATTCAAAAAGACAAAGGTGATGCTGCCTGTTTCTCTCTGCTAAACTATCAGGAATTGTTTACATAGATTAAGGAATATTTCTCACCAGGGTCTTCTCAGAGTAATGTGTCCATTGCCTATACTGCAGCTATTTGTATGGAAATTCCCTTAGGGTATCAAGTTTGTAAACAAGGTCTTCAGATTTTTTCCTGCCTTTCTAAGATTTCTTATAGTTGTTAAATTCTCTTTTTTTAAAAAATACTGACAGATAGCATGCCTTTTGCCAGTCACTATACCCACATTACTTATTCTCTCACCATCATGTGGGAATTGCAATTATAGCTCTGACACTCATGCACCCACATAGAGATGCATTTATCTCTTCATGTGTTTTGGTCCTCCAGTGCCTAACCTGACTATGTTAAACACTCTAAAGATTTTTGGTCTTAAAAACAGAATAACTTTTCCTGTATTATTTAATCTTCAGTGGTAAATTGAGGTTCAAAGGGTAGAATTTTTTCATATATTTCAGTCTATGTGATCTGGCAGACTCAACTTTAAATTCTTTCCTTCTCTCCCCTTTGGTCCATAAGATGTGGACAGCAGGAGGTGTAAGATGTCTCTCGAATCCAAAAAACTACAAAAATTCAGATCAAATTCCAAGCTGCAAAGAAATATGTTGCTGGACCACAGGAAGTAGAGGTGGGGGCACAAAGTGGGACCATGTCTACATTCTTCTTTTCTTTTCTAGAACTGTGCTGATCTCTGTAGCCTAATGTCAGTCATGTGTGCATAAATTATGGCCCCAAAGGAGTTATGTAAATACTTCCTCTCCTAGAACAAGTGGAAAGTAGACACCACTACCAAAACATAATTCAGTCCTTTTTTTGTCCCAAAGGTAGAGCGCCTAGGCATTGCTCTTTACCAAGGGAAAATTGCAAAAAAAAAGATAATGGATGTTTTTATGGCAATCTTTGAATCTTTTAGCTGCCCTGGTCTGCATTTGATAACTGTCTGTTCTATATTTGTCAGCTTTTAACAAACACCGAACAAGCATTTCAGTAAATATACACAAAGCTTTTAAACTAATGCAAAAATATTGTGTCTGAATTTTATTTTTCCAATATGTATATACCAGGGCTATAAAAAGTTCCCTATGTGTGTGTGTGTGTGGGGGGGTGTGCATACTTCATTCTCCTGCCTTGGACTCAGTCGGGGACTGGTGTTTCAAATCTGGCTCTCAAGGGCAGGCCATGGTGTGAATGTGTTTCTCCCTTGTCTTGAGGAAGCTGATGGGGGCATTAATCTATCTGTTTGGAAAAGTGATATGATTAAAAAAATAATCTGAAGGCTATACTAGTTTTCAAGATTTAGGAAGATCTCTAAACTGTTTGAATAACTAGAGTTCATGGCTAGAAGGACAAAATACAGTCTGCAGAAGCAAGTCCTCTTTGGCTGTGTCTGCAGCAGTAAACTAAGCAGTGCCAGGAAACATTCCCAGGCAGAGAAGCACAATCATCTGTATTATTAAATTGCTAAAGTGGTCCTTCACACCGTTTTGGCTGAGCAGCAGCTAGCACTCTCCCAAACAACTCCCAGACATGATTTGGTCACTGGCATGGGCCAGGAAGCATTCCTGGTAGTTCGAACATGGGCCAGTTGGCTGCAGGAGTGGAGAACAGTCTCAGGCACATTTTATTTCTTAGCAAAGACACAGCTTCGAGTACCCCATTCAAACCTTGTTATGATTTTATCAAGTTATATTTTAAAAATACAATGGGGTAAATATATATAGGTAATATATAAAGATAATTGATTAAGCTTAGATTAATCTACCTAAATTAATCTATGAACTGCAGCAAGCATGGTGTCAGCCTAGTATATATGACTTTCATCATCCTATACCCAGTTAGGGACGACAGTTCTGTGTATACTTGGCCAAAGACCTTAGCTGTGTGAGAGGAGTTAATCCACACCACGTGACTTAGGAAGCACATATAGCTCCCTGCTATAGATAACAAAGATTGTATAGATACAGGTTGTTCATTTTCGTTAGGGTTTCTTGTTAAATTAAGAAAATAGGGAGGGCCCCCTGGCACAAGCCTGTGCATAAGGATACACACACTGCAAAGTAACAAGATCTGAGCTACCTCTGACTGAAGTATCTTTGATCCTAAAACTCCTCAGCAGAGAAAGAGTGGGGCTGCAGCCCTCCTGAGGGACTACTGTTTTAGTTAGAGAGCAAAAAAGAAGGTTCACAGTTACTGCAGAGGATTTCGTAGGCGGTTGTTGCACGTTTCTGTTCTTAAGCTGCTCTTTAGACTTAGTGTATGAGGCAGTGCACGTGGCAAAACCTGAGCAGTGATCTCCCCCCTCCTTCTGACAAAAACCGTGGGAAATTATAGTGAGAAATTGTATTAAGAAATACTAATGTCCATGAGGGGGCATTCAGAATTCAGCAGAAGAGACAGTGCAGTTGCCCATGATGCTTTGACTGTGCATCCTCAGTGTGGTATATTCTGGAATGCAGCCTAATGGTGGCCTTTTATATTTTGGATAATGAAATAACCTCTCCTTTAGTGACATGAGTTATCTATTCAGCTGAATGACTTTCCTGAAGAACCAGAGCACCAATTAAGTATATCACTGTAGCCTTCCTTATTTTGGAAAGTGAGCAGTTTTAAGCACTTGTTTGATGTCAGGCAAGTGCTAGATAATTCAGTGAAGCAAAGGACAGATTGCATCACCAAATGTGATCTTGTCTTCAGCTACATAAGAGGATCTAAATAAACACCAGATCTGCAAACCAGCTTCACACTGAGATTCCTCAGTTTTATCATCAGTTTCCGTTTTGACAGCTCATTTCACATTCCAACCTTATTTCAAAGCACACAATTGGAGTCAAAATTAGCTGAATGCTGTTCAACATGAAGTGACTTATTTCCTCTCTGCCCCCTCACTGGATTTTGCAAGACCTAATAGGCTATATTTCAGTTTTTGAAATTGAAATTTGTAGAATTGCAAGAGGAAACATTAAATCTTCCAGGAAACCCTTGGACCGCATGCACCTCAGTCTAACCTATACCACTTTTCCATTTTTCACCTTTTGCAGATCTACACAATTTGCTATTCATCAATATCTGTTTGTTACTGGAGAAAGCAGTACATAGTAGGAAACTGCATTTTCTTATTTTCTCTTTCTTGTCTTTTCTTTATAATATGGAGTCCGGAGTCAAAAAGGTAACTAGGCTTTATTTTAGTGAAGCTGCATGTTTAACTTACTCTTTAACTATGTGATCCCACCAGTGAAACCACTCATGTGATACGTGGCCTTAAGGGCCTTGCTGAAAGAAAGTCTTTCTGAAGACTGAAAAAATTATCCAAGCTAAAAAAAAAAAGAATTAGCCTGTTAGAGTGCTGCCATCTAGTTAGATGAGTGTATACAACAAATCCATTTACAGTGCTTGCAATATCTCACTGCCCAGTATGCTGGGCTGCCTGCAGAAAGTCTTCAGGGACAGTCACTAGTAGCTGTTCGAAGGGATATATTGAACAAGTTCCTTTGGGTTTGTAAAAACATACGCATGCATACGAGCCCTGGAAGTTTTGGGATCCTGCAAAACATAAGCAAATTTGTGCTGAACTTTGTTAACTTGTGCTGCAGTGCCATAAGCACCTGCAAATGCCACAGGCTGCTGCAGAAAGTTGACAGAGCTGCACAACTCACAAGAAGCAGAGAATGGTAGGAAAAAGCTATTTTCAACTAAGCCAAATCATATATGAACATCACAGCCCATATTTGATTTAAGCATGTTTTAATATGCAATTTTTGAGGTAAATCAAAGCAGAAGAAAATTACACATTTGCTCTGATATTGCCTAGAAGATTGTGCTTGAATGTCTTGGGGTTTCAAATGGGACTTGTTATATACCAGGTGAATGAAAATGCTATGAAAACAGACTTTAAAGTCTGAAATTAGACAAGATGCAATATGCTTATGGAGTGATACAAACTATGTTAAAAAACAATGTTCTATGCTGCAGACGTAAAATCCTTAGCTGTTTGAAAAGTTAAGAACTGTGTTATTGGAAGGACTGCAATTGCTGTTTGACTACTGCTTATCTACCTTCTAAAGGTGAGGAATAACCATGTCTGGATAAATGACTCTGTGTAAATTCTTTATTTTCTGATTGGGAAGTGTGCTTTCTTATAATGCATTAATTTAATATTGTCAGTTAAGACCAAATGATTCCTAAGACAAATTACTCTCTTATTACAGAAGTAAGACACATTTAGCATTTAATAAATTTGACATTTACTTTAACAAGTCAGGCATCTGGTCTTAACTCTTAATTACCTCACACTTGTTTAGCAACCCAGTTTCTTGCAGCCTTGACCAGATGCTTTGGATTCTTCCAGCATGTTCAGGGTGATTAGCATAGTTCCCACACATACACTGGTGCTTCAGCATCAGACTGTCATACACAACACCTTCAGCACAAAGACAACAGAATAAGAAATAAGTGAAAAAAATGCAAATTATACTGTTCCCTGTCATGCATACCATAGCAAAACTGGATTTTATTTGACAATTAGAGCAAGGTGAAAATCAAGAATCACAGAGTCGTTTAGGCTGGAAAAGACCTCCAGGATCATCAAGTCCAACCTTTGACCAATCTCCACCTTGTCAACTACACCATGGCACTAAGTGCCATGTCCAATCATTTCTTGAAGACCTTCAGGGTTGGTGACTCCACCACCTCCCTGGGCAGCCTGTTCCAATGCCTGACAACCCTTACCATGAAGAAATTCTTCCTGATGTCCAACTTGACTGTCTCCTAGCATAGTTTGACAACATTTCCTCTTGTCACGTCGCTGGTTGCCTGGGAGAAGAGACTGACCCCCACCTGGCTACACCCTCCTTTCAGGTAGTTGTAGAGAGCAATAAGGTCCTCCCTGAGCCTCCTTTTCTCTAGGCTAAACAACCTCAGCTCCCTCAGCCACTCCTCATATGACTTACTCTCTTTGTTGCTCTTCTCTGGACCCAAATTCCTCTTTCCTTTGTGAGACTCTGAATTTTGGTTTACAAGGCATATCTTGTGATTCCAATAAGGCAAAAATGAATTCTCAAGAAATTATATTAATAAATACAATTAAGTGTAAAGGAGAAAGGAAATGGGGTAGTGTCTTGTTAAAGCTTTTATGGCTAGGAAAAAATCAGTGTTATTACTGAATCACTTGTTTTCTTTTTCTCTAGTGGGTAAGCTTCGTTGAATCTGTTAACCTATATATAACACGAATCTGACTGCTCAAATTACCGTGGTATTACTCTGCTCTCCATTGCTGGCAAAACCTTGGCAAGTATACTCCTGAACAGACTAATACCCACTATAGCAGAAGAAATTCTACCTGAAAGTCAGTGTGGCTTCAGAGCCAACAGGAGCACCACAGACATGATATTTGTTCTCAGACAACTGCAAGAGAAGTGTAGGGAACAGAACAAAGGTCTCTATGTAACCTTTGTCGACCTCACCAAGGCTTTCGATACTGTGAGCAGAAAAGGTCTTTGGCAGATTTTGGAACGTTTAGGTTGTCCCCCCAAGTTCCTTAAAATGATCATCTCACTTCATGAGGATCAGCATGGCCAAGTCAGATATGGCAACACACTTTCTGAGCCCTTTCTAATAAAGAATGGTGTGAAACAAGGCTGCGTTCTCGCTCCTACCCTATTCACAATCTTTTTCAGCATGATGCTCCAAAGGGCCACGGCAGACCTCGATGATCAGGACGGTATCTACATTCGATATCGTACTGATGGAAGCCTATTCAACCTAAGGCGACTGAAGGCCCACACCAAGACCCTGTTCGCGAAGCCTAGCCATGATGAAGGAAAATAATTCAGTAAAACCTTTTAAAATTTTAAAATAAATTTTGAAATAGCAATGCCACTGCATTTGCACTGCTTAACTAATACTGTATTAATTCCAGATCTCAGAGCATATCAAATGAAAGTTTCAGAGAGTTGAAACAGTAGCAGCCAGAGTCCTTTTTCATTAAACAAAAAGTTCCACCCACTACTCAATTAGGACCAAATCCTGTTGTTTGACTGCAATGCAAGGTACCTTTTGAATTTTCTATGGTCATTTATTCAAAGACAGAACAGCTTTATACAAAACAGCTATCAGTATCACATTGCTCTGTAGCTGCGTATTGGGAGCCAAAGAGAAGATTTACTGAAGAGGCTCAAGCTAAATTCAATTTTCAAGGCTTTCAAACCAAGTCTGAAACACCGAACAGTTATTTTCTTTATTTACTTGTTGCTTGCATTTCCCTTAAAAATGTCTGGAACAACAATTATTTTCCTTACCCCTGTGGACCATTTTCATTTGGGAAACATTTGGATTTTTCTTCCCCTCACAGTTGAAAGGGACTTAAATTAACAATTTCTGCAAGCTGCAATATTTGGCATTCAAAACCTCTTTCTTATGTGCCACCACTACTGGGGATGCCAACACAGTTCTGGGAAAATTGTGTTAGCCTGCTGCTGAAAAGTCAGCCAGTGAAGAAAACACAAAATTAAAGTCCAGATTCAACAACATCCCCAATACCACCTTTATTTAGCATAGTTCTTGAATGGATATTGAACATCAATAAAGTTTTTAAAAGCTCTACTGAATAAGAGTTTGTATACATTGCGGGCAATTCAAAGTTAAGGTTCTGAGATAATTCAGTTAGAAGCCAGCCAGAAATTATGCAGCTCAAGAAATATTTATGCGGCCATATTTCTTAGCTCATGCACTTCAGAACTGATCCTTTGGGATCTTGCTATTTAAGCCAAGATGATAATACAACAATTATGTTTAGCATAAGGAGAATGCAAACATAATATCTAAGCATTACTAAGTTTATGCTAAATTATTACCTAGCAAACATGATAGCTCATTAGCAATAAATTCTTGTTTACTTTCTTGTTTTGTTTTCTTTAAAAAAAAAAAGGACAACCAGTGAAAATCTGGAGCTAATAAACTAATGCAGCTTAAAATATCTGCTGGCACTGTCAAAGTAGTTAATAATTTCCTTTCTCTGCAGTTCTTTGCTGCTCTATCATGAGGTTTTGTAAGTTGTTTGGAAGTATGCACGCAAATAAGTGCATGCTCACATACCTCGCTTTCCTTTTCTTGGCACTCAAAGTTTTAGCTTCTACAGTCTGTTGTCTACCCATATTGTAGTTTGGCAGTGGTCATCATACCAGTAGATTAGAAAACGTTTCCTCCCATCCCTCTGACCAACAGAGAAGATGTTCAGATGATAAATGTACATGCATCAGGACTTTCAGAAGCTTTTAGTCAGAGTAGGCAGTTATAGCAAATGGATTTGAATGGAAACACTTGTTAAATGGTAACAAAATTAGCTGAAAGTTGAAAGTATCTCCTACCTGCCATTCTTTAAATACATTTTTTAATTTTAATTATTTGAATAGTCCAAATAAAATATGCATATATTACTATGTTATTGTTACACAGAATTGAGTGTAATAATGACACTTTTTGATTACCTATAGCAGGGTTGCAACCAATTTTGAAGTGAAACACTGAAACTGTATATTCAGGATGCCTGCTCTGGTTGACATAAATATAAACATCCCTGTCTTAGTGCATAAGTATTTTTCCCAAAATAGAATATAACTAAAAATGTAATTTTATTGTACATGGGTTATTTTGTCTGAATCAAAAATCAGTTTAATCAGGTCAGATCAGTATTACATGGCAGAAGCATCTGCTCCAAACTTAATTACTAAGATATTCGCACCAACGAGTGTAAAATTTATTTCTAGAAGGATTAATTGACTTATGAAAAGACTAAAGCAAGCATTTAAATTGGTTTAGGATGTGCAAGTGATTCAGATGTGTGGCTGCTGGTCATACAGCACATGTGCTTGATGCAATACCAGAATGCAGTAGTAGAGCTTACTGCTAAAAATAGCCTATAGGATTTCCCTGACAGGATTCAGCCAATAATCTCCCCACCCCCACAAAAAAAAAAAAAAAAGAAAAAAAAAAAGAAGGGAGGGAGGCAACAGTTTTCAATTGCAGACTGCTGTGAAATATTAATAAAATATGGTTATTCTGTCTCTCCAGAACAAATACCTATAGCCAGATTCTGCTCTCAGTTTCCTTGTGTAAATCTGAGCAGCTCCACTGAGACTGGTGGATTTATTCTGGATTTACACCAATATTACTGAGGTCAGAATGTGGCCCTGATGACAGATGGGAATGGTCCCACCACTGAACCATATAATGATAGAGGACACAGGACAAAAGAAACTGAATTTGCATTCAGTCAGTAAAAACTAAGGTTTTCCTCGTGGGGACTCCCTAGCACTCATTCATTTCCAAAATACTTTATTTGGGTCAGTTTCTTTTAATAATATTTTAAACAGAGGGGAGAGCAAGAGATCTAAAAATCATTGGCTAACAGCATGCTTTGAAGAAGATTAATTGCCCTGGAGAACAACAGTACCAATAAGAAAACTCAAGGGGAGAATATCTAATAAATTATTCCAAAGAAAAATCTGAACTAAATAATATCAAATATTCTGTGGACTGTCTAAATGAAAATTAAGTGTACTTTATTTTTTTTTCCATCTTTAACTCATTATCTTGTGCATATACTGTGTATATATAGCTTAACTGTCTCACAACAATCACCATTCTAATTCCCTTCAGGTATTTGGCTAAAAGCATTTTCTCTCATGACTCACAACAATATAGGCTCATTTTGATGCCCCTGTAATAATCTGCCACAACCATTTTCCTGCTATCTATTTTTACATTAATTTTTGGAGTCTGAATTCGACCTCACTTTACGGTGTACTAGAATTTTCTCCCTTTTCACCCACCCACCCATTCCTTTCTTCCATGCTTTTAAAAATGCTAGTGTTGCTAGCATTGCTGTGGACAATTGCTGGTTGCATCTTGTGCTCTCTTAAGGGAGAAAATCACAGAACGACAGGATAGGTCAGGTTAGCAGGAACCTCCAGAGGTCTGTAGTTCAACTCTGCTCAGAGCAGGTCAGCACTATGATCAGACCAGGTTGCTCAGGACTTTTATCCTAAAGGATTTTGGAAAGGCTGTATAAGAATGGAGAAAAACTGATGGATGAATAAATGCTAGAGCACTATTCAGATCCAGGAAATACTATGCACAAAAAAAGCCATTCTATACCATCACATACCATATGTTAATAATACACAGATTGATCTATTTATTTACAGAAACTGTATTAGAACTTAATGTTGCAAAGTCTCTGTTCATTGTCACTGCAAAGGTGTGAATCTCATAACCTAGAAAACAGCTCTATTTTCAATATACTCAGAAACTGCAGTGATAAAGCTGTTATATTTGTAAGTCTGTAAGCTCAGATACATGTCAGGGAAAGAGATTTCTTCAAACAGAAACAAAAGGCTTAATTGTAGAGGTATGTGCTCTGTTGGAGCTGGTCCATCAGCCAGGGGGTACTGGCTGTTAGCGTAGATACAGCTTGGAAGCAGCTACAGCATTACACTGTCTTCAGGCAGTATCTAGAGGATATGAAAGAAATGAGGGTACAGAGCAGAAGTGGAGAAGCAGAAGCATAAAGTTGTAGGGGAGGTGAAAATAGGAGGGTTTTTTTTTTCAGTAATGAGTAGAGATGATTATCTTGAAAGAGCAATGGAGGGTGAAAAAAGATTCAATAAAAGAAAAACAAGGCTTCAAGATAAAGATGTTTCAGATTTGGAGAAAGGAATTCAGTGAAGGACTGAGAATCTCTGTTGGAATAAGATAGGTGTTTTTCTCTCTCTTCTCTCTTTCTTTCTGGTGTTGTTCATGCAGCAATGTTTTACTGAAAGGATAAGGTTAGACTCTCTGCCTAATCTTAATACACCCTGACTCTGCACATTTCTGTCTGCATTTCCATTGCTGACCCTGTCAGGCTTCGTTGTGTCAGATTACAAGCCAGGGATGTCCAATTTCCACCATCTCCATTCAGTGTTTGTCCTACGTAATTTCATTCCTTCTCTTATTCTTCCATCTCGGCTTCAAATTTTCTGTCTCAAATAGTTCCACTGATGCCATGAGTCCACATATCTACGTAACCCCCTTGACCCAAGTCCCATTACTGAGGATTATAAACGGACATGTCAGTAAACCTTAGAAATCAGACTGAAACAGCAGCCTTTACATTTGTAACTTCATTCAACTTTTTCAGTGAAACTGCAGATTTTTGAATGGAACAGTGAAGCCTACACACTTTTCGTGCTCACTTTTCGTGTGCTCTGTGAATCTCTTAAAATGAGTTTACAGTGTTTTGTGGACTCTATGAACCACAACTAGAAAAACAGTGGCCTGGTTTAATAATCCTGTCTATACACAGCTGTTCTTTTTGCAGAAACTCATGGAAAGTGAATTAGTATGTTCCTTTCTGTACAATCCAAATGTTCGTTACCCAACAGGTAAAAACAAATTTTTGCTTTCCAAGTTCACATTCTAATTGGAAAGATGGGAGAGCATGGTGTCTCACACAGTCATATACATTGCCAATTAAGGACTCCATCCTACATCAATCCATGGTCATGGCCTGAAAAGCTATAAACTTTCAGGGCATAGCAAGTTCTGACAGCTGATGTGAAGGAATTAATACTTCTGGCATAAACATTCACAAACAGTAACTCCAAGTGTTTATTTCCCCTTTTTTTGTGCACAAAGTGAATCTTAACTTCTAACCATGCTCTAATGTTATACTGACATTCAGGCTTTTAAAAAGATGGACCTTCATGGAAGTTACATTACCCATAATAAGAAATGAGGTTTCTGTGGTCATCTTTTTTTCCTTTGACTGAAGATTTTTGGGGTTCCAATCACTTTGCTTTGGACAGCCCAAGAGGTTCTCCCTGAGTGACTGGAATGCCCAGGTCCTGACCATAAAACCTGCCTCTGTGGCCTCCACACAACCATTAAAAGATGCAGAAGTTGTATCCAACATCACTTAGTCATCCCTACAGCTTTGCTATTTCTGTAGAGAGAGCGACCTTGCAGCAGAGACTGACTTGTCAAATGAAGACATTTAGAATTATATCGCAGTTTTCCTCCTTACTGGTGGTCTTTCCTCAACTTATTGGTGGTCTCTTTACACAGGAAACGAGAACACTGAGAAAAGAACTAGAGAATAGGGAAATGAAAGAAAAGCTACAAATGACTTAAAGGCACCAAAAATGCACCTGTTGCTATGTTGCCAGAGCCAGTCAATGATAATAATTTATGACTGTGTGAATATTAACCCTGTGATTTATCAGCTGCACTGGTTGAGTTGGTGCCAGTATAGCATCATAAAATAGAGGAGTAGTATGGCTAAAACTGAACGCATTGCTGCAGGAGGTATTTGAGGCATTTAAGTCTGTTGATCCCACATGAACAAATGCATTTGCCCTGCCTATTAAAAGCAGTCTTTAGGGAATCCTACCAGTCGTGTAGACATGCTGGCTGGGCTGGTCCGTGTCTGGGTGAGGTAATGTGGAATCAGTGGGGGAAGATGGGGTCCCGGACACCGGTTGATGTTTATCTAATCCTGCCATGCCAACTGTAGCCATCTGAGCCTGGTAGATTTGCAACTGGTGGACATGCCGATGTGCCAGGAACTCCTGTTTCCAAGAAAACAGCACAGTAGAAAGAAATGTGAGACGGGATCAAGTAAGACACCGAAGGAAACATGTCGACAAATTAAGTTCATTAGGTCAGGGTTGTAATAAACAGTGTGGACACCCACCCTCCAACTCGCACCTAAGCCCCAGCCAATAAATCCGTTCAACAGATGTTTTCACACTGACAATGTGGGTTGCTGATTTTGCTGGAGAGTAGCTGATGGCAAGCAACCTGTCAGTTCCCCCTCACAGAAAAGATGGTTTAACATGCAAAGGCTTATAAAAGACAGAGATTTTCTAATCTATTGAATACATAATATGATGTTAGAATATGCATTTCATGATCCTATGGAAACAAATTTTAAATTTTCCCACAACACTGAAAGTGAAAAATGGTGCTCTTACTACTCAGTACCAAAGGAGCAACTGTGAGTCAAGCTTCTACAGAGGACTCAGTTCCCAGAGCTCCTGGGAAAGTAGGAACAATTTGCATCTAAGTTTTCACAAATCATTTAGAAATTCCGGAATTGTTACATGAGATTCCACTTAGGAACTATCTTTTTTTGTCATAACTGCTGCTGGCTGTAGGCAGTGCAAAACTCTTCAGGGAAGACAGGCAGGTGTGAAAAGGCTGTGACAGAGCAGAAAGGAAGATTTTCTCCTCTGTTTTATTTGTCAACAGATAATCACTTTTGCTGACATGACAAAGGCTGAAACTCTGCTGAAGCCAGTAGAAACCTTGGCAATCACTCACTCCACAGAGTAGGATTGCTTTCCAAGCCCTTTTCTTTCTGCTTTTCTCTTTTTGTGCTTATAGTCCTAGACCCTCAACAGAAAGTGAATGAAAGAGAGAGATTTCCAAACTGTTTAATATGAATTCAGTTGAAATTCATGCTTGTGTCTTACAACTGCAGGCTCTGTTTATCCTCACCTGGGCTCAGTATACATATATGCAGGCATATATATATCTATGTATATATATGTATGTATATGTATATATATATGTATATATATGCGTCTTTATCTTTTTTTTGTTTTGTTTTTTAATCTCAGTAACAGTTAGCAGTGCTGTATGTTGTTGCTTTGGACAGCAGCTCGGAGGCCTGGCCTGGCCAAGGAAGGATTGCTGGCTGCTCAGAGAGGTGAAGCTGAGTTCAGACTGTGTGGGAAGGCAGGTGGGAGTACCCAGGACTACCCCAGCCCCTCGTGCACTGCAAAATAAATCGACAGCTCATGGGATGTGAGAATGTCTACCCTGCATGTAGTAAGAGTCCTTTATGCAAACGAGTGCTCATCAATAACAACTGAAATGAGAACAAATGCTTTAAAAGGCAGCCTCAAAACCCACATTAATATCTGGGGTCACCACTTCAGTGAAAAGACATAAGGTCATGGGAAGGGTAAATCACCTCAAACCTTGTCATAAATGATTAAATAGAGAAAGAAAATATGAGTAAGCAAAAAGAGGTTTTACAATAATTATCTTGTTTTGGAGTCACTGAATCATTTCCCTTTCTTTAAATACAATCCTCAACTTTCCCTGTTGCTTTTTTAATGTATATACTGTTATATACTCCAGGAAGTATTTCTTTTGTCCTCATAGGCATACATATCTTTTGTAACCTTTGCTGGGAGTACCTGTGATTGGAGAGAAGTGAAGCATACAATGACACTATTGTGTTGAATATTTTCCCTATGGAGAACAGATACACTCCTTTGTGAGAATTTAGCATTCGTTTTCCTCAGTGCTTTCTGTAGTGGTCCATGAAGGAAGCACAGGAGGCATTTTGCTATCTGTGGCATGATTACTCCCTGTATCCTAGGATCAAGTGGTGAAGCAGCACTGTCTGTCTGATGCTTGTGTATTCACAGTCTCCTGCTTACTCTTTTAAACTGTTGTTTGAGCAGTTTGAAAGAAGTCAAACTCCTACCCGCAGGAGCCATTCATCACACAGAACATTACTGCCATAAAGGAAATCAGCAGAATACTGTTGTTTCTGCTGCTCTCTTCAACCTCATAGGTTGCCTTCACTGTGTTAATTAAATAGCTGGTATCTGTGTAGTTCTTTGAGCAAGGGGATTGTTGATACTGTCTTTCAGTGTTTACACTAACTGTTGATAATTCATTGGGGGACCCCTGGTGGCCTAGTGGTTAGCACGTGGGACTCTCACTGCTGCAACCCAGGTTCGAATCCCAAGTCCCCCGGGCAGATGGAGCTCGCTAGCCCTGTGAGGCCATCCATCTATGAGAAGGTCACTCTAAACAAACCTACGTCCTGAGGACCTCACTGCCTTTGTCCAAGCTTGCTTGGCCCCGGCAGATGAACCTTAGGATTAAAGGGTGGGCTCAGTTCAGCGCAGGCTGTGTCTCACCTAAAAAATCCATTGCGCAGGCTGGAAAGGTAAAAGACCTTTCCCAAAATCTTCGTTCGCGAAGACTGGCCATTTATTATTGATAATTCATTGAGTTCACTTTTCTGATAATTACTAGAGTACAGAAGACAAAAGGGTTTGTTCCCTTTTGGAATGCTCTTCAAACTAGTAAGGGTGTATCACTGGATTCTAGCTTTCTTCATTGAACACTATTAGTTAAGTATACTTCTTAAAGAAATCTTGGAAATTCAGATATCAGTGAGGGGGGACTGATGCTGTGCACAAATGTTTCTGTTTGGACTTTTCTAGGTGCTGACTGACCCTGAGGCTTTAGTGCTGCCTTGTCGGCCCCTCTTTCACTTTCGGACCTGAACTTCACTTGTACGACACCTTCACAATTTTTTTTTCAGTGAAGCTGTAAGTTTGCCATTCATTTGCTATCTAAAATATAATCTTTCCAGGTCTCTGATCTGAAGAAGTCAATTTAAGTGATTTTTTGTATGGTGTCTTGAAGAATAAAAAAATGTCTGGAACACCACAAAACATAGGTAACTTGGGAAGATGTTCCTATCTTTGCTTCTAAAATGTTTGTGTCTATGTAGGCAATAGAAACACTATTTTTCATGCACATGAACAAATCAAGGTAATTTTTTTTAATTCTTATCAGTCTGTGTGAACATCACCTAAACCAGACAGGTGTCTTTTTCAAAAACTTGTCAGAGACCAGGAAGACAGCCTGTTCTTGCTCTCTTATTTTCAGGTTAAACTGTGTTTTGTTTATATCATTCTCCCCTCCTCAAATGAAACCAGATGCATCCTGAGTATTTAACACGTTTATCAACCTAATCAGCTTAGGGAAGGAGAAGAAATTTGTGGAGAGTTGGATGGAAAGTTGTATGACATCTGCTTTAATTTCTGAGGTCACAGAAAATTGCTTGCCTGTGAAAATCTTTTAAAATTTGTTAAAAGTACAGTAGTTTGTCTCTCTAAGCTTACACTGAGGCTTATGTTCTTTGGTGACTTCCAGATCCTTTAACTGTAATTTTTAAAACCCTATGCATCAGCAAAGTTTAGACTTGTTTAGATTTTAGTCAAAGTTTTACGCTAACTTCCTGATTAGGTTTCATTTTATGGACAACAGGCACTCATGAAATGCATATATTTTTTTCCAGCCACCTACATATTTATGCTGTGAGCATTACAGATACTCTGTATCACACAGACAAAGGTTGTATGGATTAATGCAATGAGTAATGTGGATAATCAACACACTTGTCTGGTTCCCCAAATGCCCACCTGGCCTCTGGAAGGGATTAAAGCAATACAGTGAACTCATCTTCAGGTTTTATGTGCTACAGCCCTGCAAACACATGTCTATCTCTCCAGCAATATGACAAAAGCAGTATTTGCACATCTGCAGGGCTAGTGATTTGTGTGAATATATTTGGAGCATTTCTTAGGTAACCTGAGCCGTGTCTGCCCGGCATGGAGCCTGCTAGTTCCAGGTGCCTGAGATTAGTTTATTAGTAGAGTCAGGCAATTAGGGCCTCTGCCGGAGCTAGTGGAGGGCCATTCATCGTCTTCCCCAGAAATCAGCCCAGGCCCTCGGTAATTATTTTGAGGAGGATTTTTAGAATCTTTATCTAAAGAGAAGACGAGCCTTTTAGACACATGAGAGGTAAATATTTGTTGTTCTCCTAGTATTACTGTAAGGCCTGTTTGGCAGGAGTTGGAATGAATTTGGGTTTGTGAGAATACTCCCTTCATGTAGATGTCTGATTTGTACATGTTGGTGTTTAACATTTTGTTAATTCTAAGGATTTTAATGAGAGCTATTTCCATGTTTCTACTGGCTGTGAGAACTGATGACCTATAAGTGCATTTCGTTGTATTATTAGATGGTCTGTGTTGGATGATAAAGCATAGGTGAATTGTCTATGGATTAATGCTCCTTCAAGCTATTATGTTTTGTGCAGAGAAAAAATGTGGGGTTCACTCAAAAACTTTTCTTGCCTCTCGACAGTCTGTTTTTTAATGTAATTTGGTATGTTAATATTTAGTTTAATCACAGCTAAGTAAATCCCAAGATTTGTATGTCTGTAGCATAATCCTTAGTGTGTATGGGCATATGCACACCTCTCTTCAGGGTTTATGCTTTGGCTTTATTTCATTGTGGTAGAAAACATTTTTCTCCTAGGAATAGCAAATTCTGAATTTCTTAATAATAAGATTACTACTTATGATCTCTCATATATTTGTGGCCAGGTTTATAACCCTCTGTTGTTTTGCTTCTGCTGCATTCTGCTGAAGTATGAAGTGTGTGCTAGTGTCTATTAACTGTTAAAAGTCATTCATGTTTTGCCCATCCTGCCCTCCTCTCCCAAAAGACTCCCAGTACTACTAACCTTACAAAGTTTTTCCTACGCAAGCATTTTTGGTGGTCTCTTTGCTAATTTCCACATTGTTTTCAGAAAATTACCCAATTTCCTGAGGGGGAAAAATACACACAGGCACTGCAGAAAGTTTTGCCCTAGGTAGGATGAAAACAAGACCTGCTGCCTTCCAGACCTGTAATTCCTTTATCTCCTTCTGAAAGGTATTTCTTACACCTGCTCTGCAGCCTAGTC